GTGTTGGGGGGGAAGGATGGGGCCGAAACAGGGACAGGGGAACTGTGGCCACTGGGACTGGTATCAAATTACAAGACCGTTTTTCAAGCATGTAAGATGTAGCTGTGTCCAGGTTACTTTTTTGGGCTTGCTGTTGTCACTACTTTTTGTTGCCTAGGAGGGTGTAGCTTTTTTTAACAAGTCATTTAGCATACCTTCACCAGTGGTTCCAGATGTGTGATTTACAGAGAGCATGAGAACTGCTAGCAAAAGAGCAAACAAATGTAAAGCAAAGATCCTAAAGTTACAGGGGGCTGGGTGCTTTCAGGACTCTGTGAAAGGTTTAAGCGGATCCTGTGGTGTCTTCACAACTGGGATGGCTGTTGTTGATTGATGGCCTTGCTGAGTGGTGGGGGCTTCAGGCCACTGAAATGGATTAATACCATTAGCATACACTGGATCACACTTTTGTTTCGAGCATGCTATTCTGCTCCACGGTCTACCTCAATAAGCCTATTAAGGGCCAGAGTGTCACTGCCTATTGTCAGCTATCACCTTTCATTGTGTAGTGGATTACTGCTCTCGTCCAGACAGGAGTTCGCAGCTCAAGCAGACACCAAAACATATTGTTCTACAACACACATCACACATTGCGTATTTAATGTATATGTAAGTATAAACATTGATAGGTATATGAAGAATGCTGCACATCAGTTTGTTTTTCTTAAATAACATCCAAAAAAGACCCCATTCTTCTCCTTCCCTCCATCTTACTTGCTTCGTCTAGTGCGTTGGGGGCACAGAGGAAGGGTTAAAGTAACCACTGGAAGACGGGGTGTAGGGCTTGGCCACAGTAAGGGAGGCCCAGCCCTACACCCCAGAAAGGGGGGGGCTATATAAAAACTGACAGAACACAAGTGCTGCTTTATCCACCCTGTCCCGCCCTGGGTAAGAGGAAACCCTAAAGTGCCCCAGCATAACCAGCTTTACATTTTCTTTTTCTGTCTTTTCACTCACACCAATCGGACGTGCGTACGTTCAAGACGAGGATGGCAGCTTCATTTGCACAGAGAACAAACGGGCCCTGCAAAATGTTGGCTTTTGCCTTTCTTCTCATCATCTCACTTATAAATGGTAAGTCGGGAAAAAAAAAAGCTTAATGCAAAGAGGGTCAACTTCTCAGCGATCGTATGACCATCTACAGGGAGAGAGGGAGGGCCAGGAGGGATGGGGTTGGGGCGGAGGAGTGTTTGTTTGAATGGTCTTTCAGTTGAATCCAGGTTTTAACCCTACAACCCTTTTACTCTCTGGAATGATAACACACTGTTTCCATACTAAAAACAAATCTATAACATGTGGGACTTGTTATGTTTTGAAAAAGGGTTTGATTATGCTTTTTCCTCATGTGCTGCCAGAAAAACATTACTTTGGAGTATACCACTGCAAACAAAGAGAACGGTTGTGTAATTATGTGGAGGCGTAAGGAATTCTTAAATGAGCATTTGAAGTGAAGATCTTAGTGTCGAACTTATGAATTTCCAGTTTTCTGCCAAAATAGAGCTTTCTGCATTTTCTCATAAACTCCCTTTCCTTCCTTTTTGCCTTTCACTATTGAGAATTAAACCATTTGTGAAGCTACCTCTGGAGCTATTTTTGCTATTTCACTGACCTGATTCCCATGATCTTCGAGGACTTTGAGAAATGTGTGTATTTATATTCAGCCTTGTAATGTAAGGCCAGTTGAAGCATGCGTGAGAGGAGGGTGTAGAGTTTGGTTGTTAATATGTATCTGAAACGTGGTTCTGCTAAAATAGTAGGGGCTTTAGTGAGGCATTAGGTAGGACTGAAGATGTTAAATTATGTGTAAAGACTGTGCTCTTTGTACAGTAAGAACCAATTAAAGAATTGTTCATCTGGAATGGAACAACCTCATCTATTGTCTATATTAAACCGATGCAACTCTACCACATCTTCACATTATCTTATCATTCTGAACCAATCAATAGGGTACGGCATATTCAAGTTCAGGTTGTTTGTTTCTGATTGCATAATCAAATTTTGAGAACGGTTGTGTAATTATGTTGAGGCAGAGGGAAGTGTTAAATAATTATCTTAAGTGGAGATCTTAATTATGAACTTATGAATTTACATTTTATGCCTTTCACTATTGAGAATTAATTAAGGGAATTACGTGGAGAAAAAACACATCTGTGAAACCTTTTAGATAGGTGAGCCCTTTCATTCATGAAGCTCAAGCTCAAATCAAAATAAACACAAAGCAAGACCAAGATTTCAAAAAATGTAGCTGAGAATGTACTACAGCTATTACTCTCTGTTGTGGCTGGAAATGAATCACACACTGGGCTGCTTAATTTAAACCTTCTGTCTTGCTCATGGGCTATGGTTTTTGGGAATGAGATCATCAGCATCTGCACATGCTTTGTAAAATAAAACTACCTTGATATCATTTCAACCTATACTGTAGATTCTGAATTAAAGGCAGCAAAACCTGCTTTTGGGATGTGCACTGCAATTGTTATCTTGTCTGATGAAATAAAAAATTCCACAGATATCAGATATTATAGAGATAGGAAACAGAGCAAAGAAAAAGAAGATCACTTAAACTATATTTGAACTATTCGATAAAGCAGCTGTCCTCCAAGTCAGACAAAAATCACTCATGCTGAATTGTCTTGTCAACTCTCAAGTGGGGAGCATGGCAGAGTTATGTAAGTAGAGGAAAGATGGGCTAACTGTACAACTTTACTGTGATGAGGTCAGAGTGTATTCACAGATGTTGGGGAGCGTAACGGTTACCCAGACAACCTGGAGGGGGGTTGCGGGAGCAGAGGCTGAACAGGAGATGATCAGAAACATTGGGGGAAAACCCTGTTGAGAATGCTTAGCAGACTGCTTTTAGAAAAGCAGTGAGGGGGTGGGATGAAGCAATGCACAGGGACTGAAAGATGCTTAGATTTATTTTGTTGTCAGTGGCATGACTGGAATGTCTCACTATTGGAAGGTTGTAGTTTAAATAACTGGAAACTCTACATCTAAATAATTTCCGTAATACAGTTTAAGCTCTGTGAAGTGGTTTTAGGAGGCTCTGTAGTTAAGCGACAAACCCTGCCAACCCTGCTGCCAACCCCAGAGTATATAATTATGTAAATCATTGTTTGGGTAGTACCCATTGAAGTAGCAGATCACAGAATCACAGATACACCGTCAACCACGGAGCATTCATTCCCTTTCATGAAGAAAGTAGCACAAAGTGAGCCAAGTCAAATCCCAGAGTTAAGTCCCCCAGTGGTAGCAAGTGGACAGTTGGACCGCATACACACATAAGATCCTCATTGTGATATTGTTTTTCTTCCTCTCCGAATAGGAGGTAGGCTTTTCCACTCAGCTTTTCCAGCTTTTCTAATCTTACGACTCTATTTACTCTATGTGTATTCACATAAGCGTTGACATGGTATAGCCAAACAAGCTCCTTTATCAAACAACCAGAAGGGGCCAGTGTGACCTGATCTATAAATTACATACATGGAAGGGGAAGAAAAGTAAAAGCCAGAGTACCGGTATATCAGATGACAGCACGTACTGTAAAACCTCGAAATGGAAGCAACTGATGTTTCAAAAGCAGAAAACAAATCTTTGCGTGTCAAAGTGCACTCTAGTTCAGTGTCTTAATGGGCTATTATGGGTTGTTTTTCAATACCCTCCCTAGATGTGCAAACAATTACTCTGGTAGATTTTTGAAAGATAGAGCATGTCTCAAATTCCCAATGTTGAGCCTCTGAGCAATTGACGCCCAAATCTGCCTCACTCTGAAACAGTATCCCCTAAAAGTCTACCTGCATACACTCAAACCAGACAGGCTCATTCAAGGTAATGCGCAAGACAGTTAAACTGTAGTGGGAAATTGTGAGCGTGTGTGTGTTTAGGGGGTGTGGTGATATAAGTTAAAATTGAAAGCAGATTTCATGTTTCCTGGCTGTGGTCCCCAGAAACAGGCATCATGCTTTCGATAAGGAGCTACAGTGACCTCAGGGTTGGGTTGGGTGAATGCTGCAGCTGTGCAGCATTGGGTGAAATAAGTGCTGCTTACACAGGCCTGATTGAAACCATGAGATCCAGTTGCTTTTCTGCCAAGAGAGAAGAATGGGCCGGGTTCTGCCATTAATCGCTGTGACAGGAACGACATGGGAGGGGGAGCAGGGGGGGAGGGTCAAGATAGTGGGGTCTGCAGTCTGTTGTTTCAAAGAGGGTAGAGTTGCAGAGCATGTTTAACCCTAAGGGACTAAGCTCCAATGTCACATTCTTCAGCACGCTCTCAAATTCAGATTCTTTAAGAGAAGCAGGATGTTAAAACATGAAAACACTCTGTATTAAGAAAACACCCCGAATGAATGATGCTTTCATTAATGCAGACTACCATCAAGAAAAGCCAAAAGAGGTAACCACTAATGGGCTGAACAAGAAAAATGTTTAAAAATGTTAGATTATTTAAAAAAAAATAAGATAGCATGTTATCTTTTGCAATACATTGATATAATTTCACAATACAAACATGTGATTAATGATCTGCACTTTCTCATAGTGCATTTTGAAAGGATTTTGAAGAAAGTACATAATTATGGGAGGCCAGATTCAGAAACTTTAAATTACAGGTATTATAGAGATATTGCACATTGTTTTGTCTCCACCTTCTATTCAATTTTGAAAATCCATGTTGGCATGAGTGCGGGAGGGTAGGGTGGAAGAGGTGTGCTCTTGAATCAAATTTCTATCCAATTGATGTCAGAGTGATGTCAGAGAGCCTCTAAAGAGATACATTAAAAATTGGAGGCTGGGCCAGGGGCAGCAGAAGAAGGAAGATTCCACTTCATAGCAGTGTAATTAGGCATTTTTGCCATTTTTGTTTAGTATTACATAGTTGAGGAAATTATGAAATAATTGTATATATTGTGGTACATTATACATGACATACAATCACAGAGCAGGGGCTTTGAGGGACTCACATGCTGGGCTGTCCATGCTGCTCCTTATCACAGATCCCAATCAATCAACACTGTGCACGGCATCCATACATATACTGCAGACAGATACAAGAGGAATATATTTCCAGGACATGTAACACTGATAGAAAAGATGAGGTATTATGTCTTGACAGTGTTTATAGAAGCTGTCTTGGGTGGATAGGCCCTCACACTCTCAATCAAAACAGTTAGGACATCTACAGTACATTCAGCTATAACACCAGTAAAAAATAGGGTTTAGTGCTTATCAAAGCTGCAAACGTAATTTGTGGATAAAAAGATTTGAGATACATTATATAGCTTAACAGTTTTCAATGAAAAGACTAATTTGCTAACTAATGCTTGTGGCACCTTGCTTGCTAGTAGAACCTCAGTCATTGGGAATTCGACACGGTGGTCCTCTAATGTGCGCGGACCATTAACACCTCACCATGCCCCATTACACAGCAAATGGTTTCCCCCAACAGAAGCAGGGGAGGCTGGTGGCCCACAGTTATAAAGCCATATGTTGGGGGATTGTCCTTCCTGGACATGTAGCTTAGGACAGCTCTGGAAGCCAGGCTGTGACTGAAGGCCAAAGCCATAGGATGGTATACCAGTTTCAAACATCCAACAGATAGTTCATGTTTCATGTAAGTTTGCACACTGAAAGATGTACAGTAGTTGCAGAAAAATGGGGGCAATGGCTGCACAACTTCTTAAATTTGAAACAAAGAAACTTTTCATGAAAATCTGTCTATCCATTAGAGGACATAAAACAAATCTGGCCAGTGAAGAACTCTACTGGTAGAGTCTTCACACTTGAAGTCATTATAAGAGGCACATAAATGCAAAAAAGATGTGCCTTCATGTGGAACTTGCGCATGTTTAGCCATTACATACATCATCCTTACCAAGCTTAATAGGGCCAAAGGAGGGAAAGTAGCTGTTACTATATGGCTCTTGGCATGTTGCTATACATTACAATATATGGTGTGGGAGGTGTGAGGGCTGAAGCCTACATCTCACCTCAATAGATGCCTGGGATTAGCTGTGCGTGACTGGGATAAGGGCGAGCAGACAGGGAAAGTTGGGAGGGAGAAGGGCGTTGAGCTGCAGGCTTGTCTTCTTCCAAAGCCTGCCACATTCCTCCATCCAGAGCCCCAAGAGATGAGGGGTGTGGGGTAGAGCAATTCCAGACCACAGCCGTCACTCAATATGGTGGGAAAATCAGGGCCCAAGCTGCATAACATATGGAGTCAGTGCTGATCAGTGTTTGTGCAATGATAGCAAGACGCACGACTGATGACTGATATCTTGGCTGCTTTTAAATAAAATAAAATAAATAAATTACACAAAAAGAAGGAAATGAAAGACAAGTCTGGTATAAGGTTTTGATGCGAGGCTCAGAGGCTGTGAACGTGTCTGATGCACAGTGTGGAATAGTTCAGTGAACATCAGTGAATATGCTTTACCTGTGGCTCCTGCTGAGTGATTGATTGGAGGGTAGAGGGCAGAGAGGTGGTGATGGGTTCAGAGTTCACATTGGCAGGAAGTGTGCTGACCTCACGCAGGGAGCAGGAGAAACACCGGGGACACCACTGTATCAATTACAGTACAAAAGGCACAGGTCAAGGCAACAATCTTATTTCAAAAGGAAAAAGAAAACTACTTGCACTTTCTCTTGTCTTCATACACAGTAAATACATATTACCAAAGCACACAAGAATTCATGGTTGTTGTCTAACAAGCCTTGAAAAAAAATCAGTGTGTTTGCCTGAAAGTAAATTAATAATAGCCAGGCTTGAGGCTTTTAGGTCTACAATCAAAACAAAACAATAAAAGCTAGTGACTCAGATCCTGCCGTTTCTGTCAGTGTTGGTCATAATAGGCAATTATATGCAGAGGTTTCATTCCATCTGGGCGCTGGTCTGTCAGGACAGTTTGTTTGTGTGTAATGAGTGATGGCTGGTCAGAGAGCTGGACAAGGTTTACTGGCTGTGTTGGCTGTGTTACAAAAACAGGCTGTGTGTTATTGTGTCTGAAGCTCAACAAGCATGTTTTGCTTTATGAAAATGTAGCAGCCGCATTTACAAGTGTGCTTGAGGTGCCATGACATCATTAGCACAAGACTAGTAAAATGAGGTTGCTTTTTAGAGTATGGATTGTATACATGGGAAACGGTGTTAAAATCAAGTCAATTCCTCTCCATTTTAGAAGGAAATGAGAATTTCCACTCACTCCACAATAACTCCCCAATATCCCACCTGAGACTGCCCCAAAACCCAAACTGTAACTGAAAACTTAACATACCCATCAGCCACAGACTTTATTATTTTACATTATTGACAGAGTTTTACCCTCCAGTCCACTACAAACACATTTCAGCCTTTGCACTCTCGGACTTATGTGTTACACTTTTGTATGAGAAAACCTAATTTATGCCCAGACATCTCACCCATTTTGCACCTCATCCTTTCTGGTAAAATAAACAGACGGACCACCCAGGCACAGGTGAGGAATGGCAGCTGTAGGCTACAGGCCACAGACCAGGGGTATAATAGACAGATTTTAGGTTAGGGAGTCGTTGACCTGTCACTGGTCCACACCCACCCTAATGCTCCTTATAGTGAACCAGAGACACCAAGGATAGGGAGACGAGACACTAAATTCAACAACATTCTGGCCTTTTAATTGAAAACTTAGCCTACAAGAGAGCTTTCTCGCTCTTTATTGTAGGTTTGACACTGGTAAGATGGTGCAAAACTGCCTAGAGGTCAGTGTCTCTGATGTATTTTCTCATTTATTTGAATAGTTAAAAAGTGTGGGTTTAGTATAGATACTGCATGACAGACAGCTGTAATGGACAGTTGCTAACACTGAGCGTGGCAGAAGACCTCCTCAGAGATTATTGCCCCACCTGTCACCATGGCACACAGTGTTTACTCTGTACTTGTGGCACCTGTCTGTCACATTGATTTATCAAAGGAAGCTAGTGGACATGTGTCACAGTGCAACCACTGTGTGAATGTATCTATCTCATGTGTGAAGTGGTGACTAGAGACAGTCACCATGAAGAGACAAGAGTTAAATGGGGGTGAAAATCAACTCAAGGAGGGCAAAAGCGACAAAAATTCAAATGAACTGGGATTAAAACATTCCAAATATGTTCCAACAAAAAAACATTTTAATAATATTGGCCCAGTCTGTTTCAAGTGGGATGGGTAATCTCATGATCGTTTGTTATTGCAAGTGATATGCAGCATGGAGTAGGCAGTATTAAAATGGTTTACAAAAATCAAAGTTGAAATGTACCTTTACCTTTCAGTTTTTTGCATTTCACCGAAGTAGTATATAACATCACTATTAAACTATAAAAATATGACAAAAAATTACTTTGCTACTCAGATTACTAAGCATAAGATAAATAAGTAAGACATTATTATCATTTAATTGACACGTTGTCAAGCTGAGTTTTCTGGATTGACTTCTGAATCCTACCTTTGCAATTTGACCTGAGCAAGTCATATCATTAAAGGCCTCTGGCTCATTTAGAGGATAAAATGTAGCTTGGAAGTTAACCAGGTTATTATATCTTCGAAGGTGAACTAATTTACAGATGAAAGAACCTGACTAGAAATATCCTATCGAGACTTAATTTAGTGTTGCAATATATCAAGGACTCTTCCCCCAAAGTCATATGACTCCCTGAAAATGGTAAAATGGCCTTTTACATTATTCAAAAATTTGGAAAAAGTGATGTTTTCAGTGGCATCATTACCTGCCACCTTTCAGCAGCACATTTAATCAGGGCATTTAACTGTTTAACAGAGTTGATGGAAAATCATTTCACTCACATTAATATTTCAGAAACTTATTTTGATTATACCATTTATGCCTAAGCTAAAGTGAGTCATTGTTACCACAGGCTCTTTTGAAAGATTGCATTTCAAAGTAATTGACTTCATGACGTGATCTGTGGTTCTCAGAGCATCAGTTCTCTTCTGCAATATATCTAATCTTCCATCACTGCGGAGGCCTCTTGGGACGCAAATAAATCTTACTGTAAGCACAACAAATAGCTTTAACACACTGAATGAGTTCATGCATGAGGATGATAACTGATGTTAAGATAGCACACTGGTGAAAACTCCCAGCTATGGTCCACTACCTCACATTACAACTTTATTAAATCATGAACAATAATGAGTTGGTGTGAGATAATATAAGATAAGATTCCTCTATGCAGCTGCACTTAAAACAACGCAAGATGCTTTTATAAAAAAAATCAGTCTGAATCACAAAATGGGTTGCCACACACAGGAAGATGCCAGACACCCCATTGTTGAATTTGTTTTGATAATTAATGTGATGATTGATCACTTTGGTAAATGTGACCTTGCAGTGTGCAATTTAACACATTGCAATACACTGGGTACTGAATTTGAAAAAGAGAGTTGCCTTGTGCAGCTTTAAAAGCATGGACAATTTTTCAGTTAAGGCCATACACAGCAGAAGCCCGGCTGCTTTTGCTGCTGACCTGTAACAAAGAGTGTTTGCAATTAATGTCACGATTGAATGTTAATTGTTAACGTTTTTTTTTTTTTAAGCCAGTATCTTAAGTGGAGTTTGGCATAAAAAGTATTCCAGATGCCAACAGACAATCACAAAGAGGCATTTAAAAGCAAACAGAACTCTTTGCTCTTTGCTGTGACTGACAGTTCATATCAATCTTTGTCTTGTGAACTACACCATTCTGGTACACACATCACATAATATCTTTATAATATTTAAAATGTTAAACATTTGGCACAAGTCCATTATATAGCTAACAGCATATTTGCTATGAGCTGACAAATGTCCCTGAGAAGCTCACAGCATTTGTCCCATTTGTGGGAGTGAGCAGGAGGTCAGAGATTTTTCCTGGCAGGACCAGTCCAGGTCTTGCACTTAGGAATGGTTTATTTGCTCAGGCTGTGCAGAGGAATTAGTCTACCAGTGGGTTATTAATTACTGACATTCCTCTGTGCTGAGACTCATTAATTTAAGGCCACACCATGAGAGTTGTTGAAACATTTATGTGCACAGCACATCCACAGATTGAGTGTTAAAGCTGATGTTTCAAAATTTCAAAACATTTACATAACACCATATTCTGATTTTACAGCAGGAGTCACGGCACAGGGAGAGAACGCAACTGCGACACGTTTGACATCACACTCAGACACACGAGGAGACATGATTCCACTTGGAGATCCTGGTAAGAAACACTGACTAGCCCTGCCATACATGTATTAAAACATTTTGTACGTCTATTATAAATTGATTCATCAGCCCAACCTATGTATGTGTGGTGACTGAATTAACTTTACTAACAAAATGAATGTATAAAACCCTCCCTCTGTCAACACAGCCAAGCCCAACCACATGTCGCTACTAATAGACATCTGCTTACCACCACTACAATTTTGTTTTAATGACACCATATAATTCAATGAATCAAACATTTGAAAGAGTGTAGACAAAAAAAACCACAAAACCAGACCAGAGCAACAGTACCTTCATTAAATAGAGGAACATGAGGAAGAAAGTTTTACTTCCACTTACATTTCTGCATAGATATAGTAACAGATTTGATTCCATGTGGTCCAGAATATTACCTTCAACTTCACTTTTCAGAATCAACTGTATAATAACCTCAGACCTCTCATATGTACATATCAACTTTGACACCAAACCTCAAAGTACATAAACTGTAAAGTATATGAACTGCTTCTGTTGCTAAAAACTGTTTTAATTATGTAACAAATTCACAATTAATTGCTTTTTCAGTGTCAAAGGATGAACAAGGCCAAGCCTTGGTTTTTCCTACCATGCAGACGACAACGTCTAAACCTGCAGAAGAGGCAGGAAACAATGAGGAAAGCAGCCCTGCAGCTCCAGAGAAGCCAGATCAAGGTGGAACCGACTCCACAGTTACTCTGGAACAAGTGACCCCAGCACCTATACCTGCCAGAGGTGACGGCCCCAAAAACATACCACAGGTAAGAAAAAGAAATCCCTTCAGATCATTCAGTCGGTCATAAATATACAATTAATACACATATATGAGGTTACTGGTTTGGATAAGCAGTCTGTCTGTATGTGTAGGGTTACACTGAGAAAAATATATTATCTGAAAGTACCAGAACAATTTTACAAATAAAAAAAGATATCATCCTCTTTAAAGTTTATTTTAAATACAGAGCTAAGAATAACAATCAAATACTAGTAAACTCATAGCATTTATATTTAATCAATATTATTTTTTAGTAGTCTTACATTACACCGCTCCCCCCCCCCCCATCAAATGTGAAATTACACCACTATTTGCCTTTAGTATTATTTGCATAGGAAAATAATGTTAAGTGGCACTTGTTTAGTCTTGTGTATAAATGTTGGAAAACTGGATACGAATTTGGAGTGAAGTATTGACCTCAATCCCATAACCTCTTTGATTTTCTGAGATGGTCAAACAAGTTTGATATTAACCTACATGCTGTGCTGTTGGTATGCATTTGGATTTCCTCTAAGATTGTTTAAACTAGAATAAAAACATAAAACAATAGATTATGCTTATAATAGACAGAGCAAATCAGAGGCAGTCGGTTGTAATTATCCACCATACTGTGTGCTGTTACATGTTAAAAGCGCTGGCCTCAAACCTAATAATTCTGTACAATTTCAATGAGCTTCAATGAGTAAGAAGGGAAAGTCATGGGATAATTAAGGAGTTTTGGTTTCTCTCTGCAGCCGGTGCCACGGGATGATGTCAACTGTGTCAGCAAAGAGGCGGTCAAGGACAGAAACGCTGTCAGTCT